TCTTCCGAATTTCATTTTAGTTGAAGAAAAAGCCTTGACATTGCTAGAGATCCAACATTTAAGACGTTGTAGTCAATATGCTTATGAAAACTCTATATTATTGGACCTGGTGGTCATTGATAAATTACTCGTTTAATATTTTCATTAGTGATATATAAACAATCATACAGATTGAAGAGCCACTAAAGACCACTTTAATGAATATTGCTATCAGCTTCTGAGGAATCCCTTTAATAAAGAGTATGGTAACGCAGGTAGCCATCTTCCAATACTTTTCTTTTAGAAAAATACTGATAATGAAAATTGAGTTGATATGGTTCATGTGCTCTTTTCTTCATTCATTTACACGAAATTTTATCCACAAAACTATCCATTAAAAATCCATCTTGGAGGGAACTAACGGCTAGTGTTCAAAAATGGAAACACCCTTCTCCTCTGTTCTCTCATCTCTGTCTCTCCCAGCACAAGAGCCAACCAAAAATTCCATCTCCAATCTAGTCCCAGTGACAAACAGCATCATTTCCTCATTGAAATCTTGCTCAACTATCAAAGAATTCTCTCCAATTCATGCCCATTTGATCACCACAAATCTCATTCATGACCCTGCCATGGCCAGCCATGTCCTCCACTTCTTCGTTTCTAGAGAAAACTCCCATTACGCCCATAGAGTTTTTAGTCAAAACCAGGAGCTAGAAACCATGATTTGGAATACCCTTTTGGAGAATCATCTCATAGATGGTTCTTTAGACCAAGTTTTGTTGACTTATTGTCACATGGTTTCTCAACGGGTGTCATTAGATATCTCCACATTTCACTTCCTAATTCATGCTTGTGCTAGAAACTTGGCCTTTCAAAGAGGGGAAGAAGTCCATGGCAGATTAGTGAAATCTGGGATGGGGAGGAACAAGTCCTTGAATAACAACTTGATGGCTTTTTATTCGAAATGCGGGAAAGTTGATAAAGTTCGCCAACTGTTCGAGAAATTGTCCCACAGAGATGTGATTAGTTGGAATACTATGATTTCATGCTATGTTCAAATGGGAATGCCTGGTGAGGCTTTGAATCTGTTTCGACGAATGCAGGTTGATGGAGTTGTGGCGGATGAGATAACCATGATCAGCTTACTTTCGGCATGTTCAAAGCTAAGAGATTTGGAAATTGGAGAAAAGTTACACCGCTATATAGAGGAGAATGATTTGGAGCTTGGTGGGAATTTATTGAATTGCTTGGTGAACATGTACATAGAATGTGGGAGAATGGAGAGAGCACATGAGCTTGTGGCTGAATGCAAAACTGATAGTGATGTTGTTTTGTGGACTAGTTTGGTTGGAGGGTATGTGAAAGCCAAGAAGATATATGCAGCTAGGTGTGTGTTTGACCATATTGGGGAGAAGAATTTGATCGCGTGGATGACAATGATTTCGGGTTATGTTAAAGGAGGGTACTACCATGAAAGTCTAGAGCTGTTTCGGCAAATGAGGGTTGAAAACACGATGCTGGATGAAGTTCTTCTTGTGACGGCACTTTCTGCGTGTACACATGTGGAAGATTGGAAGCTAGGACGATCCATCCACAGTTTGGTGGTGAAATGTGGGATGGTTGTTGATGGGTTTCTTGGAAATACTCTCATACACTTGTATGCACAATGTGGGGAACTCAATGAGGCTCCCTTGATATTTAAGCAGTTGCCTAGTAAGAGTGCTGCCTCATGGAATTCCATGTTGGATGGGTTCTGCAAAAGTGGAGACATTGACAAGGCAAAGTCCTTTTTCAATGAGATTCCTAACAAAGATGTGATTTCTTGGAACACTATGATCAACTGCCTCGCTAAGTCTCATTGTTTCGGAGATTTGTTCGAGCTGTTCAGAGAGATGCAGAGTTCGGCTATAAAACCTGACAAGCTGACTTTGCTCAGCGTGCTATCTTCCTGTGCTAGTGTCGGAGCCCTGAATCATGGCATCTGGGTCCATGTCTACATAGGAAAAAATCATGTAAAGATAGATAACATGTTGGGAACTGCTCTCATTGACATGTACGGCAAGTGTGGGAGCATTGAAAAGGCTGGCGAGGTATTCTCTCATCTAGCTGAAAAAAATGTGTTTGCGTGGACGGCCATTATAGGAGCACATGCCATAGAAGGGCAAGCTGCAAAAGCAATCGATCTTTACTCAGAAATGGAAGCAACGGGAATAAAGCCGGATCATGTCACTTTCACAGCCCTTTTATCTGCTTGTAGCCATGGGGGGTTAGTGAGTGAAGGGTTCTCATATTTCAATAAGATGAGCAGTGTATACAACATTACTCCTAATATACAACATTATGGGTGTATGGTTGATCTTCTAGGAAGAGTTGGGCAATTGGATGAGGCACTAAAATTCATTGAACTCATGCCAATTAAACCAGACATCTCCATATGGAGTGCTTTTCTGAAAGCATGTGGAAGCCATCAGAATATTGAGTTAGCAGAGTATGCATTTCAACAGCTCATAGAATTAGACTCTCTAAATGATGCAGCTTATGTTCTTCTTTCAAACACGTATGCAAAAGCTGGTAGATTGGATGACATGAGTCACACGAGAAAGAAACTTCATGAACTTGGAATAAGGAAGAAACCAGGGTGTAGTGTAATAGAACAAGATGACATTATGCATGAATTTACGTCTGCTGATTTCTCAAACCCTCGGTCTGCAAAAATCTACTCCTTGTTGGATGAGATGAAGGGCAGGTTTGGAAAACTTGGACTGCAAGAAACATCAGCTCATCATAGTGAAAGGTTGGCGGTTGCTTTCAGTTTAATAAGCAATTCTGAGAGAACCCCAATTCGTGTAGTGAATAATTTGAGGATTTGTGGAGATTGTCACTCAGCCATGAAACTTATATGTAAGGCCTATGACAAAGAGATTGTTATCCGGGATAACTACAGATTCCACCGGTTTGTAGATGGTAATTGCTCTTGTAAAGACTATTGGTAAATACATGTCAAATTGATATTCTCATTTGGTTTATATCATTGAATAGAAATTTAAATTTTCTATGAAAGAAGAGCAACAAAATTTAGAGGGTTAATTCTACCCATGGTTTCAGAAGTTTACACTTAATCTCACTTTAATTTCTGAAATTTTATTTTGTTTCAGTTTTAGTCTTTCCGTCAACTAGGCGTTGAAATTTAATAAAATATGTGTAAATTAAAGTACAAAATTAAAAATAGCTAAAATTTTAAATCTATATGTGAAAATTAACTTTTAATTTTTTATATTATTTTAATCTCTAAACTTCGTGTGTTTTTAATTTTAATCCATAATTTCTATATATTTCGTCAAATATTTAATATCAAACTAATAAAAAGATCAAAACTGAAAAAGAAAAAATCGCAACTAACTATATGACATTTAAAAAAACAGTAACTAAAATGAGATTGAGATTAAACCTAAAGACCATTTTTGAGATTAAGCCAAATTTAAATTGTTGTTCAAAACAATGAAACAAACGGAGACTATTTGCATAGTTGATGCAAAGGCTAGTCCTGAAGATAAAACATATAATTTTTGGAGACCTTTTTTAGTAAACATATCAATAGATTAAATTTTTTGTCATTAAATCTATATAAAATCACGTAAAAATAAAAAAAAAAATACGCACATCTAACTAATAAAAAAAAATTTAACTTACGCTAAACGTACTAAAAACATCTCTCAAATTTTTAAGAAAAAATAAAAAGAGAGAGGTTGCATATTACAATATTTCTTTTTCTTCTTGGAAAATGTATTAGTACTACATTATAGTGGAAAAAAAAGGTTCAGACTCGCAGGGTGCTGTAATCATGACATTAGATCAAAAGCGTACTAATAAGAGTGGGGAAGCCAAAAAAATAGGCTTTTCACCCCTTTACAAGATGAAATATAGGACGATACTTAGCTGACATAAAAATGTCTGATTTATGGAAGGAAAAAAAAAAGGAGCTGAATAAAACTCATCATCCACCAGGACCGTGGTAGCTGAAATGGAGATTAGGAAACGCAACAATGTACAAAACGATCATCCATGGCTGCCAAAAGATGCACATAAACAGCTCTTTATAAAACGGATGATCACTGGCGTCTATCATTTTTTTTTTATGTCAACCTCATCAATAACGGACGTGGTGGCTGTGGAAAGAAAGGAAACAAAACTAAAAATAAAAATAAAAAAGTAAAAAAAAAATGTCTCTATGTAGCAGCAATGAGGCCTGTTTCAAAAAGTTCCTTCCCATCATCATCATCATCATCATGATCAACGTCATGAGAGTTAGGAGGGTTTTCAGGATCTTTATCATTGGATTTCTCCAATTCCTCATCCATCAAAATCTCCAAAGAACGGCAACTCAAACTGCAAAATGCTTTCTCACCCCTGCAGAAGATCAGAATTAAGAAAGTTTTTAAAGTGGAAAATCATTCCCCAAAAGTAGCTTTGAACAACACATAAAAAGCTAGTCTAGTCCAGTCTAGTATAGCATAATATAGCATATTATATGTGTGTATATATGCAAACCTGTATATGTAGATGTCCTTGCCATCTTCCAGCTTCTTGTTACAAGAGTAACAGAAGCTCAGAAAATAATTAGAAGGGTATGGAGCAGAAATCCGAGTGTTTTTGCCAATAGGCTGGGAAAATCCAATCTCCTTGTTATCATCAGCCTTGGCAGCAAAATTGCTCAAATCACAAGACTCAGTCTCCAAAATGCAGTCACCAAAGATGTGAGTTGTTTTGGGGTTAGGACCATGAGAGATCACACATGTATAGTCCTCAGAAAGCTCAATCTCACTAGCTGAAAGAGACCCAATAAAGCCATTGCCAGAACCTAAGGAGACAGGGATTGTGCTCAGCTTAGTACCGGAAATTCGGTTCGAATTTGGACTTCCTCCAAAAAATTGAGGAGAGGAACTAACTTGGGTTGTGACATTGTTCTCCAAACAAAAATTCATGGAAGTAGAAATGGGTGAATTGGACATTGTTCTGCATGAATCCAATGAACAGGACCTGATTTGCCCAAGTGAGTCAGGAGGCTCTAAAGGGCTTTCTCCAATCTCGAAAAGAACATCAGAACTGCCCTTTTCAAGGGGTGGTTTGGTTTTTGAAGAATGAGGGAAAATTGCATAGTTTTTGGGCAGAGATTTAGGTGACTCAAAAGAATTGGTGTTTGCTTGACCACTAGTAGAGGTTTTAACCCTGAACTTAGGTCCAAAAAGAATGTTCTTACTCTCAGATGACCTAAGAACCTTCCCTGGGAATTTTATGTCATCGTCGAGAGAATCTATAATGCTAATTAGGCCTACTTTAGTGCTACCACCCCAGCTTCTTTGCTGACCATTTTCATGAGATGATCTTGTTGCTTTTGATGATCTGAAAAAGGGGTTTCCTAGACTTGAAAACAGCTTAAAATCTAGTGGAGATGTTGGGCTCCTAACTGAATCACAATCTGTGGAAGTGGCTAAACCCTTGGGGCTCAAACCCACAAGGAGACCAGAAAAAGAGTTCCTTTTGGGATTGTTATTGTTCAAAATATCAGAATGGAAGAAAAAGGACTCGGACCCAGAATTAGTAATTGGCTGATGACCCATTTGGTGCTGGTCCTTCTGAATTGACCTGGTCCTCTTTCTCAACATTGTTGTCTCCTAAAACCTTCAAAACCACCCCTTTTCTGTGCCAAACAAACAGAAAGATTTCTGAGTGAGAAGATGGTTTTGATATCATAAATAATGAAGATTTAAGAGGTGAAAATAAAAGTACCGAGAAAGAAAATATCAGCAATGATCAATCCTCTCACATGCAATAAAAGATCAGGAAGCTCCCAGGGGGATTTGATTGAGATCAAGAAAAATAAATGTGAGATTTCATTTCATTTCATTATTAAGGCATTAAAGATGATGCCTGAAAAGACTGGGAGATGTCTAATCAAATTAATATATATAACATCGAGAATATATAGAAAAAAAAATGAATTCCATTTTTCTTTGCCCCAAAAAAATGAATCCCATTTTGAAAACAAAAACCAAACATAATCAATCGATCATCAGGGACATAAAAAATGTTGGTAACAACTAACGAGATGATCAATACCCAAACCCCAGAAAAAAAAAAAAACTAAAAACTTGAATGTTGAAGGAAAAAAAAATGCAGCTTTGGATACCCAAAAAAATTGAAAAAAAGAGCGAAGAGAGAATATGAAAAAACCCACCTGGGTTCTTCGTTTCTCTGCTCTGTAAACTTCAGAGAGAATGACGTCAAGAAAAGAGCCGAATGAAGTAAAAATATATATGGGAATGTAAAATAAAATGTCTTTCTTCTTGTCAAAGGAGATACTTAAGAGAGTGTGTGTGAAACTTGTGCAGCACTCCTCTCTCTCTCTCTCTCTCTCTCTCTCTCTCTCTCTTGCTTTCTCTCTCTATTTCATTTCACGCCTCAAAATCAGAGAAGCAGTGAGCTTCTGAAATACTCCACTCTCTCTCTCTCCTCTCTCTCTGAAAATAGAAAAATGCCTGGTCTGCAATTATGTATTTTGCCCACAGAAAACGTTTATGTACGTATTTTCCCGACTTTTGCATCAGAATACATTTTCGCTCTTTTCCCCTTTTTTTCCCTTTTAATCGTAACTAATTACATTTTATTTTTCCCCCTTTTTCCTGTCTTTTCTTTTTTTTTTTTTTTTTCTCGAGGAATCTTCTTGAATTTGTTTACATTGGATTTTTTTTTTAGCAAGTTTACATTGGATGTTTCTTTTTCTTTAAGCTTTACGTGGAGGATGCCCATCCCTTAATAATAGTGTATATTTCAGAATATTAATATATTTAATTAAAATCGCATTAAAATGAAAAAGATAAATAAAACTGATAGAATTTATATAAATCGGAAGTTTTAAATTACTTATAAGTTTATTTTTTCATATCTAATATTTTTTATATTTTTGTTCTTTCTTTCACCATATCAGAATTGGAACACCTCTCATTATTTATTTGGAAAGATTGTCACTTTCTGTATATGTTAAGAAAATTTTACCTATGAAATGCAATATTAAGGACATAAGCTTTTTATTCATTAAATTTTATCCATTAATTTTGGATTTTCCCTATTATAGACGATATTAAGTATTTGTTGTTCGCCCATTCAAAATCGTTGAAGTCAATGGGTACTTTTATAGTTTTAGGTAGGAAAGAACAAACAGTGTATATTTTTTTAAGGGGGAAAAACACATTTTTAGTATTCACTTTTATTGTTTTAGATTTTTATTAGATTTCTTCATCATATTTCTTTACTTTTTTTGTTTTCATCTTTTGTTTTTTTTTTCTTGAAAAAAAATATTGTATATAGTTGGCATTCGAAAACGCTTGTTCATTAATATCACAAAAGTCCTGTTACATTAATGACTAATTAAAATATGATACATACAAAAGACTTATTTATTAACTATTACCTTGAGATTTGTTTAAGTAACAATAAGTTTTTGTTTTTTAATTGTCGTATCATTACAAAAATGAAAGAAAAGCATTTTCCTTAAATCTCATATCTCAACGGAATCTATGAAATGGGGGTCCTAGATGTGTTATAATTTGCTGACGTGGGAAAAGCTTAGGGGGTGTTTGCAGCAAAAAAGAAGTAAAATGGGCAATGGAGTGGAGAGACACTGATAAAAATCATAAAAGACAAGGGACAATTATTAAAAAAACAAAACACCAAAAAAAAAAAAAAGAATAATTACATCGATAGTCCTTTAACTCTTTAATAGATAACACTTTAGTTTTTTTTAAAAATTTTAACAAAAATATCCCTAAACTCTCAAAATATTGGTTAAGCCCCTTCCGTTTGATTCTGTTACCTTTTAAACAGTTTTGTACACGTGGTCAATAAGTTTAGGACCCGTTTAGTTTATTGATTCGAATTTAGAACCGATTTTAAACTTGACGGTTTTTAACGAAAATGACTTAATTGTTAATATTTTAAGAATTTAAGGATCGTTTTATTAAAATTAGAAAAAGAAGGATCAAAGTATTACCTGCCAAAGCGTTAAAAGGAACTACCGGCGTAAATTATTAAATTTAAAAAAAAAAAAAGTGGGAACAGTTTCTATCAGTTTTGTTGATGAACCGTGTTTAAAAAAATAAAATAAAAAATAAAAAATTTTGTTGATGAACCTTTTGATCAGAAAACGACAAATATGACCTGGTGGACTCAGGAGGCTTTATTATAACTGACAAACGGTCACGGCTTCTTTAAAACCGCCCTTCTCTTTGTTCCCGACCCGACTAAATCCACTTTCCGAGTTTTTCCCTTCTATCCTATTATTATGACTATTTTATGGTGGTTTGCAGCCTAAAAGGACTATTATGCCCTTTTCACTTTTTTTTTCTTAGTAGATCTTACGGAGGATTTTGTGGTTGTGGGGTATGAAGGACAATTTTATATAATTTACTCTTGTGATTTTTTTTGGCCTCGTTCATTTTGTTGATTCGAGTTTAGAATTTGACTTGAGATGTGATTTTATGTGAGAACTTTTTACTGTAGTAAAAAAGTTAGATGTGATTGTTTGTGAGAGCTTTTTACTGTAAAAAAACTCAAATTCTAAACTCGAATCAACGAAATGAACGGAGCTTTTTTTTTCCTAAACAAGACGTAATATTAATAATAAAAAGGAAGAGGAAAATAAGAATGTTTAGTAAATTAAGATTAAAAGTTCAAATGATTTAAGAGAGTGAGTGTAATCTTTATGAATAGAGGGTAAGTTTTATTAAAATGTGAAACTACGTAATGAAAAAAAATAACAGAACTTAATAAAGATTTAAAACATTTTTGAACCATCAAATCACATTATAATTATATTAGATAAAAAAATGACAACTTTATGTAATTTAATGACGATCTAAACTTGATAAAGATCAAAAGCAATTCTACGTCACCGTTTTACATCATAATAATATCAATAACAAAATGACCTTAAAAAAATTTAATACAATCTTACTAAGCAAAAGCATATTCTGCCAATAACTCTTTTTTTTTTTCCTCCTACCACGTAATTATATATATTTTAAGACATTTGCTATCATTTGTTATCACTTTACAGGTAACTTAGTAGCGACTTCACCATTTTTTAGTTATTTTATTAACTGATATCTCTTCCAAGTTTCATCACATTTTTGTTAATAGAAACGTTCTTTGATTTACATGACCATGTGCACCACCACTAAGTACTCTTTAAAAGATGTGCTCTGTGTCTTTGTCCATCAAAAGCTGAAATCTACCCAAAGGGATTTGATTAATTTACTTTTCCCCCCTCCATTTACCACGTTTATTGCGTGTCTAAATTTCCTATTTACCCGTTTAGTTTGCTGATTTGAGTTTTTAATTTGAGTTGATATGTGATTTTATGTGAGAGTTTTTTACTGTAATAAAAAAGTTAGATGTGATTGTTTGTGAGAGCTTTTTACTGTAATCAAACTCGAATCAGCGAAATGAACAAGGCTACTGACGTTTCACAACAAAATTTAAACTTCTCACTTTTTTTAAAGGGGTTTTTTTTTTTTTTTTAAAGTCTTCTTTCTGTATAGGCTAATTTAGAGTGATAATTGTACCTTTGGACCAAGCAGAAAAGAAAACCTATTTGTATTTTGTATGCTCTTGGTCATTGACTACACTAGTCATTGTAGTTGTTGGTCCAACATATTGAATTAGTATGTTTTAATATCAATTATGAATGGTTTCTCACCCAAAAGAAAAGGGCCAAATAATTGAATATCAGTAATGCAATATATATCACACGTGTACATGTATTCAACATACATAGAACCTATTAACATTAATGCATAATATATATTTAAGAGCAACAAAAAAATAATATAAATATATATGTATATATATTATTGCATAAGAAAACTCCATTATTGTATACTGGTACATAGGATCCCTTAATTCCCTTTTAAAATAAAAAAAAAAAAAAAAAAAAAAAAAAAAAAAAAAAAACATTAATTGAAATGTTAAATAAAAGAGCTCGCATTTTTTTTTTTTTCCAAATCAAACACGATAGAGCTACTATACAAAAGTTCATAATACCCCCAAGCTGTAGCTGCGAGGGATTAAAAAAATAAATTAATCATGATCAATTCTGACACAAAGCATTTTCAAATTCACTAGATAACAATTTATCTTCTAAAAAAAAGTTAATAAAGTGCTTATTTATGGTATTGAAGTTATTTCATCCGTTCAATTTATATATCTTTATGTATTTTTAAGCGTTGAATTAGCAAACTCTCTAAAATAAAATAAAAATCTTAAAACTTAAAAAGAGGGAATCTACCGAAAAAAAGTGTCTAGTTATTGCACAAAGACATTATTATTATTTCTGCTTTGATTATTGGATAATGACTTGTCTTTGGTATTGTTGCGTCATAGTTCTTCGTAAAAGTTAGAACACACGCATCAATTACTAGTCCTAGTATTTGTAGACTATTGGGGACCACGACATCATTCACAAGTAAATTGTATTCGTCACTTTGGCCTCGTTCATTTCACTGATTCGAGTTTTCAGTTTTAAGTTTTTACAGTAAAAAATTCTCAGAAAATGTCACATCTAACTTTTTCTGTACAGTGAAAAGCTCTCAAAAAATGTCACATCTCAACTTGAATTGAAAACTCAAATCCGTAAAGTGAACGAGGCCTTTGTTAAAACCCAAACACTTTTTTTCATATTTAAAAATAAAAGCTCTTTTGAGGGTTTGATGGAGTTATGATTACGATCTCGTTCATTTCACCGATTTGAGTTTAAAATTAGAGTTTTGTTACAGTAAAAAATTCTCACATAAAGTCACATCTCAACTCGAATCAGCAAACTAAACAGACCATACATATATCACCTTAATTTATCACAAAGCACTTTATTAAAAATGTATGTGTATCCCATCAAAAAAAAAAAAAAAAAAAACTCACTCTAAAATCTACACCAGACGTTCTATATATTTATCTATAAGGCACATACATCCCCGTTAATGACAGTTTTTTTTTTTTTTTTTTTTACAAGTTGCATGTTTTTTAAATTTAATTAAAATTACTGTGGTAAATAATAAATCAATACAAAGAATTTTTAATTGTTTCTCTGTGAAAATAAATAAATAACTACGATAATAATTCAACTTATAATTAAAGTTGGACTTGAACATGTATAACATGCTAACAATGTCGTAATTGTTATAAATTTGACTCAATATAGGCAACTTACAACGATTTTTCAAATTAAAAAATGATACCATAAATGTTAACAATAACAATATAAACTTATTATAAAGTTTTGGAATTAAACCTAGATAAAATTATGGTGGTATCAAAATCAACAATCTCATTATATATGTATGATGATGGTTAAAAGAAAATATGTTAAATAGTATACATTTGTAATCATAAGTAGTGTAACACAAGTTAAAATATTTATCAAAGTAAACAAAAGTAGTAAATCAGGTGTTTAAATAAAAAGTAATGAAAGAAGTATTTGA